ACTGTCCCAGTTCTACTCCTGTTTTTCCCATTAATGTTGTATATATGTCGCCAAATAGTGAATTAGATTAACAGAGTTGAAAGATACCTTGTAGGTCATCTAGTCCATCCCCCCATCTTTGGTTCATTCAGTCTTATTATTCCACTTTAACACAGTAGGCAGCTATTTAAGATAATCTTTTAACTTGAGGCAAGGTACTGAATTTTCTGCATAAAAAGTGCTGTTCCAATAAATTCTTTATTACTTGGGTGTTTCTACTGTTAAATGTAGAGATGTAGGATGATACATCAGCTGCTTTTTCTGCCTGTAGAAGAGATGTTGTGAACACTATTAACTATTAGGGAATCGAGAAAAGAGGTTGTTAGTGTAACTTATGGAGACATAATACATTTAAATTGGAGTTTTGTTCTCACCAGGAGAGGCGGAAAAACATACTGTGGTTGTCTTAGAGCAGGGGTCTCCAACCTGGGCAACTTGAAGACTTGTGGACTTCAACTCCCAGAATTCCTCAGCCAGCTTTAAAGTCCACAAGTCTTAAAGTTGCCAAGGTTGGAGACCCCTGTCTTAGAGAGTCACATTGATCATTGATTCAAGAGCATCCAGTGTTCAAACTGATTTCTAATTCTTTTATATAGTGAATGATGGCTTGGAGCTGAGACCAAAATACAATGGCATTTTGCATTGTTTGTCAACCATCTGGAAACAAGAAGGATTACGTGGTCTGTACCAAGGAGTGATTCCAAATGTTTGGGGTGCGGGTGCCTCTTGGGGTCTGTATTTTTTCTTGTAAGTTGAAACTGTTTAAATGTCTCCCAGTTAATCCCAAAACAGTTTGTTTTTTCAATTGTTTTCACTTGTCCCACAGCAGATTGACTGATATGTTAATTTCGTCCATCCATTCTAGGCTTTAACTAGAAGATTTTATAGCACTAATCTAATACATGTCAGTGGCCTATACTTGGTCTCACTACTGCTCCTTTGGATTAATTCTAATAATACAGTATTTCTCAATCTGGATCGTTCAGTAATTTTCATACAACTGGGGGCTTTTAAATTTCTCCCACTAAAGTAGCTATATGGAATCATTGCCCAGCGGTTGAAAGGCAACTTGTGCAACTGATTTTTCTTTCCCTTTCCTCCTCCACATTGCCTCCTGTACTCCCCAAGATCTTCTCTGGAGAGTTGGAGTCCTATCTAAGATTATCAGTTCTATCATACAAGACTGCATGGGAGAGCAGAAGCAGGTAGTGAGGGATGTTGCAAGCTCCTGTCCAAGATTTCAAATAATTTCTCTCTTTGCATCACATCTCTATTAGAGTTATGTATCCTTTTGGATTCAGCTTCCAAAAAGGTACTCTGGAACATGTGGGGGTACTATCATAGCACCTCTCTGCAACTCTTTGAAATATTATTCCAGAAAAAGATAGCTGCATTTTAGAATTGAAAACTGCTATGTTTGCATCCATGTTCTCTTCAAAGCATCTTTTTAGAATCAAATCTGAAACACTGCACAGCTCCTATCTGCATATAACACAGCATTGCTACTTAGGATTGTGTCTTGATCACCTGAAAATATGTATAGCTGATACCAGGAGCTTCAACGGGAAAGAAGTGAAGAGAAGCATCAGTTGTGTAAACTGCCTTCCCATTTATTGGCCTCTGAATATAATTAAAGGTTGTCAAATATCATCTGTTGGGTGTCAGCTCTGAGACTCAGCTGCCAAGATTGTTATAAGGAATGCAAAGGGGAGTGGAGGAGTTGGAAAGTTCAAGGTTATTTCGTATGTCGCATTAAAAAATTCCAGCTGCAGTTAATTGGTTCTCGTGATTAATGAAGTATAAGAAGTGGGAGGAGAGAAGGTGGATTTTGTGGAAGGCGCTGAAAATGACTTTCAGTTTGGAAATTCAATAGAAGTACCAGAGCTGTTCCTAATAAATCAGTTGGAGATTATACTTGTCTCAGAGTGATTGATTACCATGGACAATTCTGGATGTCTAACATTGGGCTTTGGATTGTCACTTTCAATACCATTTCCAAACCTCCTACTTTGACAGAAATATATTGAGAATCCCATGTAAGCGAGAGCAGGCAACATTTTATCATCCATCGAGTGCAAGAAAATATGAAAAGCTTTTTATCAAAGGGCATAGGGTCAGTTTAAGGAAGCAATTCACATTAAGTGGGCATGTGTGAAATGGCTATTTAATTCAAGATTATATTTGATGAGTTTATATTCTGAATTCCATTCCTATAATAACAATATACACAAACCTTTGATCGTACAATGGCATGCAAATATTCAAATTCCCAAAATTGCTAACCAGGCAATAAGCAGAAATGAGGGTTATTACAATCTTACTAGATTTTGATTTAAATTTATACGGCAACGCAAAAGATTGGGGACTTGGACAAGAATAAATTCCCAACTAGAAAACCCCAAATAAACTCCCTCCCCCTGGCAACAACATCCACTTGATGGGCTCCATATCAGCGTGGAATCCCCGGGTCCACTGACAAAACCGTGTCTTTCAAGCCCTTTGGAACATTATCAAGGTGGGAGCTGGTATTATCTCTGCAGTGATGAGATTCCACAGGGAGGGAGCCACAAGGGAGTAGGCTCTTTTCTTAGTCCCAATAGATAGACATTCTTGATGGAAGGGACCCATAACATACCCCGCCTTCCTGATCAGGTGAGTCAAATATATGTATTGTGAAAAGACAGCCCTTCAGATACATGACTCCAGGCCATCTAGGGCTTCAAAGGTGATAACCAGCACCTTGAATTGGATCCAGAAGCAAATTGGCAGTGGTCCCTATTTTTCTGCTTGCATTTTTACATGCTTTCGAACTGCTACGTGGGACAAGTAACGGGAGCTCACTCCATTACACAGCGCTATGGATTCAAACCACCGAACTGCTGACCTTTCTGATCGACAAGCTCAGTGACTTAGCCACTGAGCCACCACGTCCCTATAGAGGTGACACCTGTGCAAATCCAGATTTGCACATGCAAGTGCATAAAGAGTTCTTAAAAACTCAAAAGCCTGGATGGTGTTTTGTGATATTCTCATAATATACTGATATTTTTCTTAATAGCCACTATGCCTCTACTTAAACAGGTTGTTTTAATATTTGTATAACAAGTAACCTGGGTTTTCTAATCTTCGTATTTGATTCTTCAGCTACAGTGCAATTAAAGCCCACAAGACAGAGGATAAGATGGAAAACCTTGGAGCAATTGAACACCTAGCGTCAGCAGCTGAAGCTGGTAAGAAATATATGAGCTATTTGTAGCCTGCCTATATGCTATACTTTGTTTTTGCTCAGTTATGTTTAGTTCAGAAAATAATTTTGAACATCTAAAAATATTTTTGTCCCATAGAAAGTATAAATGCTTAACTTGCTGAGTATTAAATCTTTTAAAAGACATTTTCTCTAACACTTTCTTAGAAATTCTTAACCATATTTCCTGCACACAATACAAAGATACCACAAATGTATCCCCAGTTTTACAAGTTATACTGAAATTCATGTATTAAATGCATTTTCCTTCCAGGAAAGTTGATTTAGGATTATAATTGTAGTTCTGTAAAACTATTTGGTAAATATTTGTTACATAAGTATAGATACTGAGTTTTTTGCAAATTGAACGCATACATTCCATGTGATGCACTAATCAGAAATTTTCAAATTATGTCTCAAGTGCTGTCTACAATACTAAGATGCTAGCATTGATAGGATTTTCAAATTATGTTTAATAGGAGTGATGACTTTGTGTATTACAAACCCAATATGGGTAACCAAGACTCGGCTTGTGTTACAATATGAAGCTGGCGCTGACCTGTCAAAGAAGCAGTACAAAGGAATGTTTGATGCTCTTATTAAAATATACAGGCATGAAGGTATACGTGGGCTATATAAGGTAAATTAATTAGGCTGGTCAAGAGTTCTAGTATTAGTATTTTATTATTAAATATGCTTAACAGTTATTGCATGGGTTTCGGTGCAAAAGATTTGTTGCTAAACTTCAATTCTCAATCATGTATGTTTAAAATGTCTAAATTGCAATGAAGAGTTTATTTTATTTTTAAAAAATTATTAATACTTGTAGAATGCACATAATTGAATCATTGAAAGATTGAAATTAAAGATTGAAATTGAAATTTAGAAAATGACTAGGATAAACTAGTGCTTAAATCAGTATGGCGTTTATAAAATTCATAAAGCAGACTGAACCTTTTTTTATAAAAAATATAATTTTGACCATTCCATCACTGTATATGTATTGGCAATGCTGGATTTTAAACTTATAACTTTATAATTGATATGATTACATGGATGACTTTTACATTTTTTATATTTAACTGATTCAGGGATTTGTGCCTGGTCTATTTGGAACCTCACATGGAGCCCTTCAGTTTATGGCTTATGAAGATTTAAAATCCCGATATAATAAATATAAAAATAGACCGTCACATATGAAACTGGTAAGATGAATTATAAATTAGAGGCATCTGCTTTACATAAGATAAAATGTTAGGACTGTGCAACGCATTCAAAGGATGCATCACAAAGCATCATAACTTGAAATGTTTAAGTCAAACATGTCTTCCTGAAGACATAAAGTGGTTAATTGGAAGGCTTTCTCAGGTCATCACTGTGTATGTATGTCTCAGGGATTGAACATAAAAGTGGCACTTCAGTTTTATTATAGGATGATGATATAGTATGACTGAATTATCTGATGTGGTACAACAGTTTGGTAAATTTTCAGTTACCTGATTAACTGATTATACATTGAACTTATACATTTTAATGTAGGAGTTTGTAAAAAGCAGCGTTCCATTTGTTGTTTGTTTCTTTATTTGTAGAGGTAAACATTTCAAACTGTTTATCTCAGATTCATATTACTATAAATAGTAAAATAATACCATCGCAAAGGTGCTTTTCAAAAGGCAACTGGACTTCCTTTGGTTTTCCTTGAAGACATTTCACGTCTCATCCAAGAAGTTTCCTCAGTTCTGACAATCTAAATGTCTATAGAGAATCCCTGAGAATAATAGACATTTTTTAAAAAAACATATTTTTATACCATATATGGAAAAAGATAAACACTGTTTAAGGGATAATTGCCTCAACGTTGGACAGGTACTTACAAGGATCCTACGTAAATATTTTTAAAAGGGGGGATTCTGATGACTGTGGCTCTTGCTTGAGGCTTGCCCATAGGAAGAAGGAAAGCCCCGAGAACTTGGTTCTGCTATATCTGCCATGCACATATAACCAGGTCTGGTGTATTCTGTCCTTGCCTGATTTGGTATGTAGGCGTTGCAGGCTTGCACTAGTTTTGCATAAGGAGTGCCCAACTTGAAGTAGTAGATCAGATTAGTGGGATTAGAAAAGAAAGTGGGCTGGTAAATTATTAATGTTTTGAAGAATAGCTTCCTAAATTTTATCTAAATTACTCTTGCATACGATGGGGGATTTTTACCTATCTTGACTTTCTTATTTGTTACTGGATATACCAACTGATGCCATGGCAGGAGCCCCGTTCTATTTCCATTAAGATTTTGCTGCATTTCTGTCATTAAAGGCTGAAAAGCATATTTTGAAGGTATAATATTATGAACAGTGGATTTATCCATCATGGGCATGGTAAAAAAAAATGTACTATGTTATAGTAGAAAGATGTTTCTGCCTTGGATTATTGTCTTGGATTGATATGTACTCCTCTGTTTTTGAACGGTCTATCAAAATAATGAAGTTACCAACATCACTTGACTTGGCCAGGAGTTTAGTGCTGTATTTAAACATGAGCTATTGCAAATATATGTCATGCTTTTCTCCTTTTTTAATTTTGGTATGTTCAAATACCTAAAAGACCACATGCGCTGGCAATTTGTGAAAGAGAAATTGCAGTAAGCTTTCCAGAGGGGACAGCTACCTCAATTTTAAGTAAGGGTGCCTCACCCCCATCAGTCTTTTGTGAAGCGTCTTTGCCACTGCTTTGCACAGCTGTGTAAACATATCAACATAACTTTGAAGCAACATTTGTATAAAGATTGAAAAAAATAATACACTGCTGAGTTAAAAATGATACATTTCTTTGATTTTGTGAAAGACTTGAGAACCAATATTGGTCCCTTTGCATTTTTAGAACACTTTAGAATATATTACCATGGCAGCAACGTCCAAAATATTTGCAGTCACGGCAACATACCCGTATCAGGTTGTGAGGGCACGTCTCCAGGATCAGCACAACAGATACTCTGGAGTACTTGACGTCATCCGTAGGACATGGAGGTAGGCCTGGGAATGAAAACCTAATAAGACTTTTTTCTACGGGTATCCTAACCTTCATTTTCTCAAGATAATTAAATACTTATTTCAGAGGGAAATGTGGAGATTTCTGCATTGGAATTACAGTGAAGAACATTCCCTTAGAACTATGAACCAGGGTGAAAAGATTTTCTCAGGTTTCAGCAGAGGGAAAGAGGGAAAGCCAAATATCTGACCTTATTTTTCTCACTTTCCCATTTATTTTCCTTCTGTGTAATAACATTTAGAATATAAGCCTATGAATACGGACAGAGTTTTTACATAGGCACCTAGCAATACCAGTCACAATCCAAATATGTGAAAATACCTTTTATTGAGATATCAATACATGTTTATTTGTGCCTTCCTGAATCAAAAATTATCCAGAAATTATGATTTAACATTTCTACATTTGGAAATACTGTATAAAAAAATCCTACAATTAGTAATGAGCCATGGTGGTGCAGTGGTTAGAATGCAGAATTGCAGGCTAATTCTGCCAACTGCCAGCAGTTTGATTCTTGACCAGCTCAAGGTTGACTCAGCATTCCGTCCTTCTGAGATCAATAAAATGAGGGCCTAGATTGTTGGGGGCAATATGTTGACTCTGTAAACCACTTAGAAGGGGCTGTAAAACACTATGAAGCAGTACATAAAGTGCTAGTGCTAAGTGCTAATTACATTCACAGACCCGTTTTCTGCAATAGATAAATTGACAATAATCCAGGAATACAGTAACAACAGTATAAAAATAACATTTGAGTTTGTTGAAGCAATTTATAAATCAGTTGTATGTTTTACAGAAATCTCTTCTGCTTTTTCACAGGAAAGAAGGAGTTCGTGGATTTTATAAAGGAATTATGCCCAATGTAATACGAGTCACTCCTGCATGTTGTATCACCTTTGTTGTATATGAAAAAGTATCTCATTTATTACTTTGATTTAATAATAAATGAAGATTGAATATTGATTCCATATATATTGTTCTGCACCCTTTCAGTTAAGCAGGAATCCCAACACCTGTCTGACAGGTTTTTTTTCTGGATTCATATTTGTCAGTTTCGTTTGTAGTACCTTTTAAATGGACCAAGGTCATCTGCAAGTTGCTGTGTTTCAGATATATATTTATATTGATCTCTGTATCTCAAAATAAATTGTTCACATTATCAGTGAATTTTCCTTTTACTGCTTAGTTAACAAGGCTTAATGTTTTCTAAAAAAAAATGAACAGGTCTAACTTCATACAAGTAGTCTTCGCTTAACAACTGCCCTTTTTAGCAACTATTCAAAGTTATGACAGCACTAAAAAATTAACTTTATGACCAGTCTTCATATTTATGACTGTTTCTGTGTCCCAGAGTTTTCATTTGTATGCTTCACAGCTGGCTTCCAACAAGCAGTCAATGGAGAATTTGGAAGTAAAATTGCAACAACTTGCTTAACAACCATGGAGGAAATTGACATTCTAAGTCCAGTGTGATCATGTGATGTTTTACTTAACTATATCACTTAGCAAAGAAATTGACATTCCCAATTGTTATTAAATGAGGACTATTAGTAATACAGTAACATGCTTCTTGATAAGCAAGACTATCATGTTTTTCTGATTGCTATGAAATTGGAACTAAAACTGAAGTCTGTGCTGAAATAGTTAAATCAATATTTATAATTAAACAATAATTATATAACATTCAAATGAATAAATAGCATAACAATGGCTTGCAAGTAAAAATACGTATAGACATTAGCCATTTTTGCCATTGCTCCAATTGTATTGCTGTTTGCTTTCTATTTTGCCCGTCTTCCAAAAGTGTAGATTTTTTTATTTTACCACTACCCACTCAGAATGATTTGTTCACCCATCATATTGCTGCTCTTGCTACCCCAATCTACTTACCCCAACCTAACCAAGGCAGGGCAAGGCATATTAGCAGTTGCTGAATGCTCTGATCACTTTGGCCTTAATTGTATTTGGGTTTATCACAGAGAGAGTTTTTAAGTTTGCCTAGAATTATATAATTTCTTGTATATTTATTAAAATATGTGTAATTATCTGTGGATCTGTGTTACTTAAAGTAGCACCATAATCCATAATAGAACAGTGTGGAAACAAGTTTTTTAATATTTGGGGGGAGAAATCAGAAGGGTTCACATAAAATCTTTTGTACTTGCTTAAACAAAAAAATACCAGAACAAACATTTTCACTACTCAAATAGCAAGCTAGGCATGTTTTAATTGTTTTAGCCAGGACTGAATTGTTGTCCTAGTATGTAGTACTATGGCTTGGATTAGAAGAGTCTCCCTTATTGTAAGTAATGTAAATAAATTATTAAAACCATTACAAACTTTTAAAATTCATTTACAAAGATATTTACAAAATAAATTTGGCAATTATTATAAACATTCAGATTTCTTCTCAAAGGGAATGAAAAGTTCATTACATTTAGGGCCAAGGTTTTTTTAAAAATGTGAATGAACTCTCTGTTTTGTCTCCTCCTTGGTATGATCAGTGTTTTCTTGAAATTGTGGAAAACTTCAACAAGTTATAATGAGGCTTTCAAAAGGAACAAAATCTAAATTTCACATTTAAACTACTAAGACATAAATGGTTAAGAAAATTTTGTTTGTAATCTAATAAAATGAAAAAAAAAGTAAGTTATATACTATAGAAATACTATATCTTTTCTATGTTAAAGGATACGTTGACTTAATTTTTAAAATTCTGTTTCAGCTAAATGTTTTTTAAAACCAACACTCAACAAAATTGCAAGAATTACTGGTATAAACATAAAAATCTTACATGTGTATTCCCACATAATCTAATTTTGGAGGTTTCATATATGTCTTACTGATATCAAGTCATACAAATAGGAACAATGGGTAATAATGTCTCTAAACTCTGCCAGCAAACAGCTAAGGTTAACATTTGAGGTCAAAAGTTCCCAAGAAAAAATACTTCATGTATTTGTAAATACTCTTAAAAATTAACCTTTTGTTCATATTTGTAGTATCCTATAGAGGTTAAATTGTATGTGGATATTTATGTATTGAATTTATATTGCCGCCTATTTGCCCATGGCAACTCGAGGCAGCTTACAGAATGTAAAACCATATTTAAAACAATAAAAACTAACAAAAAGAATCAAATAAATTAATAAAATACAACAGAACAAAATCTGGGGGGGGGATTATCACCCCCCAACTCCCACCCCCTGCCCTGACGACAACAGATCACATGAGTCATTTGATCAGCTCCATCCCGCTCTGGGTTTCCCAGGCCCGCTGGCAGAACTAGGTCTTCAGCGCCAGTCCGAAAGAGTGCTAGAGTGGGGGCCATTCTAATCTCTGGGGGAATGATGTTCCAGAGAGAGGGAGCCACCATGGAGAAGGCCCTTCTTCTGGGTCCCACCAGTGTATCTCCCTCAGGGATGGGACCCACAACATTCCCTGCCTCCCTGCTCTAATGGGTCAGGTAGATGTGACTGGCAAGAGACGGTCCCTCAGATAACCACGAAGGGCTTTAAAGATATGGTGTACATAGATTTAAAATCATGTTCATTTATACATTTCACTAACTTTTATGTTTAAAACTTTTATATAATGACTCACATTCATACATTCACTTGCTCTTATGTTTTTATTTAAATCAAAAAATTACATATATATCTTTCACTATGCCTGGCATAGCTTCTATGCATACATAATACATCAAGACGACAGCTATACACTAAATAGTAAAAATATAGGTTTACCAAATTACTGTATTACAATTGCAATAATTTTTACCAAGTAATCTTTTTCAGGTCATTTATTGTTTCACACTTCACAAGAAAATTAGTTTTTCACTTCAATAGGAACTTGAAGTTTAGAAAAACAAATCATACTTTGGGGGAATGGAGAGGATACACTTGAATAAAAAGTTGCTTTTTATTTTTTAAAAATACAAAATTAACGCTATGTAGGTTTTCTTTCTGAACAAATACAAGGATATATAGAATTGATAGAAAAGTAATCATTAATACAAATTGTTCCTTTAGGATCTATATTCCAAAATGCTGTAGAAAAATGCTAAGGATACATAAAATTAAAAATGGAACATTGTCTACTGGTATTTCTGTAAGACCTCCGCAGAGGCCAGCACCAGGCTGGCTCTTATGGATTCAGGAGTTAAGCAGGCCCAGGCGTAGTTAGCACAAACCATGAATTCCCAAGAAATCCGAAAACATCCTGGAAACAAATCACTTTTGGGTAGCTGGCAAAAACTACACATACACTTAACTGTTCAACCATCTGAAGTCAAACGTGGCTCAAAAGAGATTTTTACCTTATTTCTATAAATAGATTTGTACACTATAATCCAATGTATATTTTCATGTAGAAAAACAAACCAATAAGAGGTTGCATAAAGTCCTGGATGTTGTTTTGGGAATAGCAAGAAGAGGTTGAAAGCTCTATTTTGGCAGTTCCTCTATAATTATACGAGACACCGAGTTCCATCCTGTTGATGCATCTCCTCTTGGGTAATCTGAGCAAGTCCCAACCCAAACGGCAACATCCACCAATCCAGCATTGATTCCTTCACATAATCCTTCCACTGTTTAAAATATAAAATACATTGATTTCACCCATAATCCATCACAAACATTAAAGACTAACAATGAAAAATGGTATATCAGCATCGGTAGAGGCAATCAGCAATTACAGTATTTGGCTGGCCAAGATACAAAGAAAAGGGAAGAAGCAATGCCTAACCTCACCTCCTTTGCCCTCCATTTCTGTTGCTTTCCGATGTTCCTTTGGTCCACATGAGGAACTTTCTTGCACAACAAGAAAAAGTTTCCTCCTGAATCTCCCTCACCCTTCCATTTCAAATTCCATACATGTTATGTATGGAATTTAAAATATACTTTAAAATATACTTCACATGTTAGCCTGAAATGTATATAATAAATATGATTGGGAGAGAAATTGCACTGTGTTTCTTGAGGTTTTTTTTTTTAGCAGATGATCAGTCATTAATACATAAAACCTCATTGGCCTTTTAATAAAAAATAAATGGGTTTTTATTTAACTGTTTAAATAGATCGTCTCTTTTGGATGGTTTTTCTTAGGGTTTCTTGCTATTGAAACAGCACTGCAGAAGATAAAGATTATTATTCTCTTTGCATGACTTTCTACAATTAATCCCGTACTCTCAATTTTCTGGATTTACATGTCATACCGTATACCATAATTTAACAAATTGATTCAGTTTCAGTGAAACCCCAGACCAACATATGATTGGCTAGTTTGTGATCCAGTGTTTCAATTCAGAATTCAGATAAGATTAGCATTTTATCTGCTTCATAGCACTTGAGTTAAATGCTTTAATCCTGGGAAGGACTCTACATTTAAACCAGCGATGGAATTCAAAAAAATTTACTACCGGTTCTGTGGGCGTGGCTTGGTGGGCGTGGCGGGGAAGGATACTATAAAATCTCCAGTCAGAGGTGATATTTGCTGGTTCTCCGAACTACTCAAAATTTCTGCTACCAGTTCTCCAGAACTGGTCAGAAACTGCTGAATACCACCTCTGATTTAAACTCCCCTATTTATTTAGCATCTGAAAAGAATATTGAGCTGTACCAATCCATTGACTTGTCATAAGAATTTTATTTCCTGTGGATGATTACATCCCCAATCTGTTCATCACTTCACCTAAGAGTAGGTAGGCCCTTTAGCATGAAATGCTTATTTTTATGATATGACTCCAGTACATACCTGAAGATGTGCGATGTATATTAATAGTAGAATTTAATTCTGGGCTTCCTTGATCTAAATAAACTATAGCTTCAATTGGAAGGGGTCCAGAGCACTCAGCCCCATTAAAAGTAAAATACCAGCGTTGACAACAGGCATTTCTACATTTAAGTCGAAGTGATCCACTGAAAAGAACTCTTAAAGCACTGTTGGTGCGCATCTTGGTGAACGTACATTCCTGTGAGAAAAGAATAAGTGAAATTTTGTAGAAAACACAATTATCCTAAACAATTGCTCTTCTGCAATAGGGGTAACCCCAAGATATGCTTGAGCTATTTATAAAGACCAGTTTCATAAAACTCAGATAAAAACTGATGGGGGGAAAAAGTGTCAGCTGGTAATGATGAATGAATTGTTCCAATTGAGCAATCCTTGTGCTTAGGCTATTCTTTTTTTTTTTTTTTTGCTAAAAAAATTATCCAAAGTGAAACAGCCAAGGCATCATTTCATACAGTAAGTTTTCTGACTGAGAAAGCTTCTTTGTGTTGTGTGTATTGATGAAAGTGCAGTCACAGTTTGGGTAATTTGCTGAACAAATTTGCTGAATTTGTTGCCTGAGTTCACCCCAAGCCAAGTTTACAAACTTCAGTGGCTGGATCACAGACTAGGCCAAAACCAAACAAGCCACATTGTGGCTTAATGTGCAGATCCAGTCAACAGGTCCATCTAAATCAGGAGTGTCAACTTGTGACCTGCAGGCCGGATGTGTCACACGCTGGCCACGCCCAGGTCCAGTTTAGCAAAAGGGAAAAGTTGTGATAAGTCACATGATGACATCGTGACAATGCGAGTTTGACATCCCTGATCTAGATCAAAACGTCTAGTACAAACTCTGTTTAGTTTCAATCAGGAATCTTTTTCAACCCCTCCCTGAAATGCCAGAAACTTTTTACTGCAAAATACACATTAAGCTATTAAGCATTTCTGGTCAAAAGTTAAGAGTATGTAATCACAGGTATTGTTTCGTTTTAAATATCTTTCTATTGAATGGCTTTCATGCATTGATCGCTAATTCTGAAGCTGCAAAGACTGCCTATTTTGAATGAAAGTATTAAAAGCCCATCTGCTATTAACTCATTAAAATTGTTACTTTCCTCACATTGCCATATAGGGTTAGGCAGACAACTTGATTTGTAACCATGTTGGAGTGTTTCCTGTCTAAATCCTAATACTGTATTTAAATCTATGAATTATTAGTTTTCTGCCAATGCTAAAGTCAATTTGAAGATCCACCTTAGGCTCACTAGGACCTTGGTCAATGATATCAAAATGTCACCAAACAGGACTAGGCCAAACATTGGATGCCATCCGGTGTCATAGGAAAGTGGGTTTAAAGGAGGAGAACTGAAGCCCTGCAAATACCCCCTGTATTCCTTAAAGCAAGGGTGTCAAACTTGCCGCATCACGTTGGACATATCGCAACTTTTTTCCCCTTCACAGAGCTGGGGTGGGCGTGGCCTGCATGTGAGGCACCTGGCCCGCAGGTCACCAGTTTGACACTTAAACCATCCCCCAAAATAGTGAAAATTCTACAATTTGGGGGTTTTAAGAGTGCCTGGAGTTTTTGCAATTCTTAAGGCACCCCAATGCATCCACAGGGGGTCAAAATGGTGGCTGTAACTATATAATCAAAGATCCACTTATAAAAAGAGAGAGAGCTTCAGTTTTACAGTTAAAAGATCAAACATCCATTTTGACCCTCTTCCTTTGCTGAAACCTAAAAAAAACAGGACAAAAATACTGTTTCTGCCAACTCCAAAGATGAGCTGGAACAATACATAGCTGGAGGTTATCTACCTTTGCCAAAACGGGATGCTACCTAGTCCCTAGAAGTGAGCAGATTGATTAGTCAAGCAAAAGCAATATGGAACAGATTCCTCACCATATCTTGCTGGCCTACATATTGTGCTATAGTTGTGCTTACTTACTGCGATTTTTCCAAGGTCTATGCCATAGTTCAAGGCACTCCATGAACATTGCTTATAGTTAGGGGTCCAGGATTCCTCAAAGCTTTCTTGCATACATTCTCCTTTTTCTCCTTTAAGCCCATCTCTGCCAGGGATACCTGGAGTTCCAGGGATTCCATTGATTCCAGGGTTTCCATCCCTTCCAGGAAGACCGACAGGTCCTTGCATACACATCCCATTATACTGAGAAACAAAAAAGTATGTTGGCATCATGCAAGTATTATTATATTTACTTAAGGAAAAAATAGTCTATAAATATGGTAGATCAGATGGGGAAAAACCCACATATTTAGCAAATTGAAAACAATACTCCCATTTGGGGAAAAATAGGTATAATTTCAAGTGAATATAGAAGTTGATGTCAAATAGATAATTTAGTTGTGTTTACATTTTTAAAACAACTTGAAATCATTGTTCAGAGTATAGGAGAACATGTATATCTAGAGGGAGAAAAATAATTGTATAATTATCCAGTCCTTGAAACAATAAAATCAGTGTTTTAATCGCTGGAACAGAGAACCAGATGAGTTGCAATACAAATCAACCCCATCCCTTCTTTAATCTCTAGTAGTACAATTCACAGCATTTATATTTCAAAATTATTCTCAGTGAACCAAATGGATGTAAATTCAAATTTAAAAAATAACCTCACATCAGTCTTCATTACTGCTGACCTCATCAACATATCCATGTGTTATCTTGGCCATGTGCAAAGTGGTTTTTCAGCTTCTCAATCTAGGCTACAATCTTGGGGTTTTCTTTATTGGTCTTCCACTGAAACATTAACCTGATCAGATATTCAACCATAATTATCTTCCAACCTCCAAAAAGGTTGGCCCAGATGCTGCCACCTGTTGGTGGGGTTTGCTCCATCGGTATCAACCATCTAGAACAGTGGTGTCACACTCGATTTCATTGAGGGCTGCATCAGGGTTGTGTTCACCTCAGGTGGCCAGGATGAGCATGGTCAGTTCAATGTCATTTGTGTCGGAGGGCACCTGTGGTAGCCAAGTACTAAGTCAGGATTTCCCTCAGACCCTCTCTCATTCTCATTATAATTTTCCTTCCTTTCCTTCTTTTTTCCTTCCCTCTTTCCTCTTCATTCTTCTTTCATCTCTTTCCTTATTTTTCCTTCCTTGCTCTCTTCCCAGCTTCCCTTCTTTTTCTTTGTCTTTCCTCTTTCCTGTTCTCCTTTCCTGTCCCTTCTTGCATTCTCAAATGCAAAGGGGGAAACATTTCTCCTTTGGTTTCATTTTAGTTTGTTTTGCTAGCCCTCTGCTAGCCAAAATGGAGCTGGGGGGGGGACACACTCCCCCCCAAGCTCCGTTTTCACTGCAGCAGAGGGCTGCAGGAGGCAGTCACAGCAAAACAGACTCCGGGAGGGCCCATGGGGCAGATCTAAGCACCCCACGGGCTGGATCCAGCCTGCAGGCCTTGAATTTGACACCCCTGATCTAGAACAAATCTGAATTCTGCTTTCCCCCTACTCAGCAAAAGGCTCTTCCTTATGTACATCTATAGATGTATAACTCTTCTCCTGGCTCATTAGAAGTGAGTGATGAACTCCCAATATTTACCTCATCTTATGCTGCTTGACTACCTGGCTTGGAGATGTACTTGTGTTTCTTCAAGAGGCTTTAGGAATCAGTGAGCCATTGTGGAAGAAATGAAGTAAGCATCAAAAATCTGCCACATCCACTTGGTATTATCCTCTCCCCTCTTATAATGACCACTGAGGTCAACTGCCTTCTCAGGAATAAAACAATCCTCTGCTTGGGGAAATTCTCTTCCTGAATAGTCAATTTCTATCAGAGTTAGGGTTGTTAAAGTAACCATAAGAATTCAAAATTAGGGCTTGAGTTGCCTTGTTTTCATTTTCTCTCTCCGTTGTCTTTTCCTTCTGTGCTGTGAATTTGAGGACTAGGGCACCAATGTTGTTAATGAATATATTAATTTTATCACAAAACACAAATATCTGTATGTCTCAGAGACCACAACTCTCATTTTTTTTCTCTATTTTAAATTATGATAGGCTACAGAAGTACGATTTTGTTCAAATGTTCTTAACCTTAATGGCATACAGTGTATTTTAAAATTTGTAGGTTTTTAGTTTAATTCCTCTTTTTAATCCTTCTATATCTTCTTGATTTAGTTTTGTTGTTTAGGTTAAATTAAAAAAAAACAAAAACAGCCAGCATTGTTTTCTTTAGGCTCTGTTGTTGTTTCACTTTTTGACAAACTCTGCTCAGAAATAGATAGTACAGGCTTAGTAGGAGCCAAGAAAAATAAAGCAGAATATATAATAATAGGTTATTTCTTCCAAGCCTTCTCTTAAGAGATGACAGAATTAACCAGTTTGTTACTATTATTGTCAGTGCCAGTAAACCCAGGGGAACAGCATCTTGAAAGTGAATGCTATTCGAAGAAATATGAGGGAAAGTAAGCAACGTAATTATCATTTCTGAAGTAATCAGTGAGAAGATTTAGCCATTCCTAAAAGTATCTAGCTCATTCTAAGAGCATGTGGAATTTCTGAGGTGGGCATGACTGACTAGAGTATCAAACCACGTCTGAGGAAAGCCACGTTTTTGAAAGAGTGAGGCAGACAAAAAGCTAGTTGTGGGTGGATGGGAGGGGGAGGAGGAGGAAGAGGTCTTCATAAACAAATGGGTTTACAGAAAAAGTCTATTTCTGAACCGAATAGTGTCTTTCCAGCTACAAAGCACCAAAGCAGCCTTCCTCCCCACAGTGGTGGGATTCAAAAAAATATACTACCAGTTCTGTGGGCGTGGCTTGGTGGGCACGGCAGGGGAAGGATACTGCAAAATCTCCATTCCCACCCCACTCCTGGGGGAACGTTATTGCAAAATCCCATTCCCTCCCCACCCCACTAACCTGCTTTCCAGCTCCATTCTCCTGTGCAGGGCAACAAAAGAAGACCCAGCAAATCAGCTGGGACTCGAGAGGCAGAGAATAGGAGGGTGTGGGGCCAGTCAGAGGTGGTATTTGCCGGTTCTCAAAACTATTCTAAGTTTCCACTACCGGTTCTCCAGAACTGGTCAGAATCTGCCAAATACCACCTCTGCTTCCCAAACATTATGGTGGCCTTCAGAAGTTTCGGAATGGCTGAGTTAGCTAGGAGTTTGGGGAAGGTTGTCCAGGAAGCTTCATAGCTTTTCGTCAAATTAAAATGATCTTCAATAAACTAAAAGCCTGGTACAGTTCTTTACAACAGTACATCTCCTCCATTGAGCTCCTCCAATGAGCTCTGGTGGCGCAGTGGTTAGAATGCAGTACTGCAGGCTACTTCTGCTGACTGCCGATTGCCTGCAATTTGGCAATTCAAATCTCACCAGGCTCAAGGTTGACTCAGCCTTCCATCCTTCTGAGGTGGGTAAAATGAGGATCCATATTGTTGGGCGAAATAGGGTGACTCTGTAAACTGCTTAGAGAAGGCTGTAAAGCACTGTAAAGCAGTATATAAGTCTAAGTGATATTGCTATTGCTATTTGATCTTGCTTTTATGCCTGAATTGAATATTTAGCTGTCACTAAGCAAGTAGCAGAATTTCTTTGACCTGGGCTGATCCTAAAAACCTGAGCAGGATCAGACCTGGTTAATATTTGGAAAGGACACTATCAAAAAAAAAATAGGGTTGTAAGCTAGATGGGAAATGAAAAGAAATTCTTGGATTTAATTGCTCTGTCCATAAAAGCAGAAGTCAAGCTCAACTTGAAGTCTGTTCAGACACTCATGCCAACAAATGTACTATATAGCTGAGATCTAACCATTTTCCAAAGCATTTTGCTTTCAGATGAAATTTTCTCACACAAGTAAATTCCACTCTCCCTACGCTGTGGAAAGAAGGTATAGTGATGATTAAAGACATAATTCCCAAGACTAAATATAATGATTCCTCCAGCTTACATAGGAATGCCTTCAGTGAGGAAAAATGTTTCAGAAGCCACTAATCTCCCTAAATGCTCAACTCAATAAATCACCAAGACCGGAGGAAACCAACTAAGTTACTCATCCTCTGAGTCCCACCACAGCAGATGGCCAAGCTGTCTTTCCTTCGATTGTTGGTATCCAAACTTCCATTTCAGCCTGATCTTATTTACACAAGTACTCTTGAGATTAAGATGGATTTCCTTATTTGGCATACTAAGAGGGAAAACTGAAACCTAATTTAACAGAAGCGAACTTCACTCAACTATGCCTAAAGACATTTTTGCACAGGAAAAAAAATTCTCTGTTGTCAGCCATGCTAAACAAAATGGCCCATAGGCTTGATTTCAAGGCTGAGAGTCAGTAAAATATAAAATACAGGAAGAATCCGTGCATCCATCTCTTTGCTGCCTAACGTCCTCCCATCCGCTTTTCCTTTCTTTTATCTTTATCATGTTTAATTTTAATTGAAATCATCAAACCCCTTGGTACTATTATTGTTAGAATCAATATGATTGTCACTAATAGAAGAGAAACCTATTCTGGGTAACAAAGCCGCACATGGAGGAAAAGGCTACCTAAGCAGGATGCTACATTTAGGATTTCCCCCCTCCGCCTCCACCATCTAGAATGGCCGTGCAGGAAGTCCTCAACGTACGACCGCATATTAAGCCCAAAATTTATGTTGTTAAATGGGACAGTGGTTCAGTGAGTTTTGCCCCAGTTTATCACCTTTCTTGCCACAGTTGTTAAGTGAATCTGGCTTCCTTATGGACTTTGCTTGTCAGAAGGTCGCAAAAGGGGATCACATCACCCTGGGACAATGCAAGGGTCATAAATATGAACCAGTTGCCAAGCATTTGAATCCCTTGACCCTGGGGATGCTGCAAGAGTCCTTAAGTGCAAAAATCAGTCATAAGTCCCTTTTTTCAGTGCCGTTGTCATTTCAGACAGTCACTAAATGAACTGTTGTAAGTCGAGGACTACCTGTACATACCTATATCTTTACAAAAGAAAGAGAGCCCTCCCCCAAACCCTGTCCCTTCACGCCCAGGGACGGAGCGTGGCCCCAGGAAAGGGAGACACAAAGCGCTCTGAGGCGCGCGAGGTGCCCTCCTCTCCAGCGATGCCCTCTTGCCCCTGCCCGGCCTGATGGGCCGCCTGGCCGTCCACTCACCACGTCCACCACCTCCCGCTGACGGAACGCCTTTTGTTTCCCCTTCTGCGTCTCCGTCGAGGTCCCGGGCGACGAAGCGGCCGCCAGCAAAAGCAGCGAAAGCAACAGAGTAGCGGAAAGCGCGGCCGGGCAGCCCGGCGCGACGGCGGCGGCGGCAGACGACGGTTTCATGGTCGGCGAGTGGTGGCGGCTGCGAGCTGGGAAGGGCTGGCCGCTGCGCCAGTGAGCGCAGATGAAGCGGGAAGTGTCCCGTCAGGCGCAGCCACACAGACGAGGCTTTCACCGCCGGAGAGCGCCAGTCTCCCCCCCTGGGGGCGGTGAGGAATGCGCCGCTGGCTCCCCTCTGAAAGCGGCGCGCCTCCACCCGACTAGCTGGGGCCGGGAGGTGGGGGGTGGGAAAGCCAGCCGGGGGCGAAAAAGGCGGCGAAAGTAGCTCTCCCCCGCCACTTTATTCCGGGCGAGACAAGCGGGAGGTCGGCGCTGGGGCGGTTAGCAATGTGGTTCCCCGCTCGGTCCCTGCGGCGCTCCCGCCTTCTCGGCCACGTGGGGGCGCGGCGGGGCTTCCCGGGCTAGCCATCCCGCCTCAGGTTGGCTTCTCCCGCTCGTGAGGGTCGTTTTGAGAGGAAGACCAGGCGTTGGGAGGGGGGATCGTCTTTTCCACCTCGAGGGTCCTCCGATCCTGACCTGCCGGCCTTGCCGGAGAGCGCGAGTGAGGGCCGGTCTCGCCGGCGGTTGCACAAAGAAGGCTCCTCGCCAGGTCTTCGCGTCCGGCGGGCGATCTTCAAAGCAGCGCATTGCAGACGGCTGGGAGAAAGAGGCGGCACGTGGGAAGCAGCAAAGCATTTCAATTTCCCTTGGAAATAACGGGAAAAGGGAACCGCCTGTTGAGGCGGTTTTCTATTTCAAAGTAGGAAATAAGCAATTGAAATAAAAGCTTTTTCTCCAGTGGGAAGTTTGTCAACGAAGTATAAAGAGATCATTGTTGAAGTCGAATTGTGCTACTTATTGCCTTTAAATTCTACCTTTTTCTTTGAGAATACAGAGATCGGTTCCTTAGTTTTCATGACCAACCTTCTGGCTGACTGGGCGTGATTGATACAAAGACGTTCAGGAGGCTTCCAGAACTCAAAAGCATTTTGTCAAATTAACAAGTTTTGTTAAAACTACATTTAAAAAAGTATCTGTGTGGTCATTACAAGTAGAAAATGATGTGATGATGTCACATAATCAAGCTTTTATTTATGCATTTATTAAATTTGTTTGCTGTCCATCTCATATCCAATGACTGGAGAGCTTACAACATTGTAATCTTACAATTTCACTAGACTTAGTGGCAAAAATGAACCATCCCCGATCTCCCTGGTCTCAGTTTAAAAGAAATGAAATGTAGACACTACTTAAAGCATCCGCATTTAATATCCTTGTGATCTCAGACATGGAATCATCAAGTAGAATATAAACTACCAAGAAAAGCCTTTCCTCATTTTTGCCTCATTAGAAAAGCATATTTAGTCCCCACGATTTTCACCTCATTTCCGGTTGAGATTCACACCTTGTCCTGCCAATTACTTACTGCATAACATCAGCTGCAAAATCCTGAGGCGTGCAGAGCAAATCTAGGCAGTGTGTGTTATTATGTCATCAGCTCTGTAACTATACCAAGTTCTGGGTTTGGCTAATATGGTCCAAGCAAGATTTTTGCAACATTAAGGTCTTATGTACATTAAGCCTGTATAAGAGAAGAAATGCCAGAACTTGGGGTGAAGTTAAAAGTTAAATCAGCCTAGAATCCCTACAATAGCCACAAGCAAACTAAGTCCAATCCCGCCCCCCTGGAGTTTCATTGATGCTTATCTAGCCTCAAACATGCTGCTGTTGGTTGAAAAGATTCCTGTGCATAGGCACCAGCAATAATAAATCACTTTAATTGACTTGTTTGAGTTGTTCTATACTCTGTTTATTCTCATCTAAGATGGTATCCATCTTAGCCGTTCTTTGACGGCTTGGTTTCCTTTTGTAGCTAAGTCTTCCAAACATAATTGCTCCAGTGAATTTCTCCACATGACATGGCCAAGGTGAACCGCAATTTTGTGATTTTGCCCTCCAGTTATATGCCTGGTGTTATTTGCTCCAAGATATATTCCTTAACAACCTCCAGCATTATTATTCTCCCGTGTCTCTTTATAGCCCCTTCTCTGTTCCAAGGGTAGGAAATGAAAGAAACGTGAGTAATGTGAAGATAAAATCCAAGGCACATTGATCTTCTATCGCAACTAGTTTATCTTACCTTATTAGAAGATAAAAGCTGTTCAATTCTAGATCTGGAGCCTGATATAAGGAAGCAATAGCTCTAGAACCATATTTGTTCAAGGGGCTAATGGTTTTCGCTCCCTCAGACAACAACCTGCTTTGCACCAACTGTATACAATGGGACATGACTCAATCCATTCACAGTTGTGCATGTTTCTTAGTCTTCTCAGCTGTTGCCAAGAGGGCTAATTAACTTCTCTTCCAACTTTTTGACATTTCCTCTTGCCCCGCCTTCCAGTGAAAATAAAATAAAATTCTGTGTGATTCAATCTTGGCCAGCATTGTCAAGGAAACAGCTACAAGGAACAGAACCAATTGTACATGGCCACGATAGAGGTGAAAACCACTGAAATAAGACTGCCTAGAGAAGTTGTCCTTTCATGAGGCCTCTCTATGATATCTCTGCAAATGGGGAAAGAATTTATCCCTGATCCACAAACAAATCAGTGTTTCTCAACCTTGGCAGCTTTTAGAGGTATGGACTTCAACTCCCAGAATTCCCCAGCCCAGCATGCTAGCTTGAAAATGCCGGGAGTTGAAATCCATTCATTTTAAAGCTGCCAAGGTTGAAAAACACTGATACACATGACGAGGGGACAGTTACTATATTCCTAAATAAAACCATGGCTATTTGGAGTCAAAAATAATCCATTCAATACTGATTATGGCCAGGATAGGTCATTTGAACGTCGTCCTATGATTCAGTTAAGCATGTCATCCATAGCCCTGAAGGGAGACGGGTACTACTGGTACATGCAATCTATTTGTGGCTGCCACAAAGAAGAGGGGGTCAGATTATTTTCCAAAGCACCAGAAGGCAGGACAAGAAGCAATGAATGCAATCAAGGAGAGAAGCAACTTGGAATTGAGGAGAAACTTCCAAACACTGAGGACAATTAACCAGGGGAACAACTTGCCTTCAGACGTTGTTGGTGCTTCATCACTGGAGGTTTTTAAGAAGAGACTGGACAGTCACTTGCCTGAAATGGTATAGGATCTCCTGCTTGAGCAGGGAACTGGACTAGAAGACCTCCAAGGTCCCTTCCAGCTCTATTCTGATTCTAAATGGATTCTTAGTAACATTGTGGAGTCCTTGGTGCTGTCTGAGCTTATTGGCTTGCAGATATTTCATTACCCAACTATGTAACAACTTAGTGGCATTTCTAATTATTTTACTATGTTAGTGAGTTAAGCAGGGTAGGATTGCTTAATAACTTGGTTGGACCTGGGTGTGGAACACCAGGAAATTTCAAGCCTGTATTTGAACTGTCTGACATTATTCAGTTAGTTGCCAACACCTGTCAGTATTTCTGAGTCATAAGCAAAGCATGTTTGATTGCATGTTATGAAGCTGGTTTTTAGCATCTGCAGTCACCTTGATAATTTATGAGGCTTGCTAGCTTCCAGTGATATTTGATTAATACAATGCACCTAGAAATATTTAAATACCATGCACTATGCATATGTAGTGACTTGTTTAAAGCAAAGATGCCATGCAGTTTAAATCAAAACCATTTAACCCAGTATCAGCAGAATGTTTTTTAAAAAATTACAATGAATGACACGGTTACCAACTTCTGAGGAGCTTCAAAACAGAGTGAAGTGGATATACTACAGATGGTGGTGCAGTTTTTTTCAATGGGTAGGATATTTTGGTGTGTGCTTGTTTTTCAGTTATGGTAAGAATATTTTAGGACTCACAGTAACTGTTTTTGGTAGTTACAATATTTCCAGAATTGATCAGAAAGCCCTTCCTAGGCATATTAGTAGTTGTACATCTAAACTAGCTTCCTATTCCTATTTTAACAGTATCCTAAAATTCACTTGGGAACTATTCAATTTGCTCACTTATAATGATATTGAAATTTATCATGAGTTTTGTTTTGTTCAGTGTCTTCATTCTACAGCGTTTCTTTGGTTAATGGATGCTTGGCTCTCGAGTGGCATGGTGGCCTATTGGTGAAGATGCCTCCCATTCAGAAGGTTGTTAATTCAATCCTAGGCAGCAAGACATTTACCAGGGCGCAAAGAGAAAATATGTGTTGCAAACTCCATGTAGGTGTCAGGAAGGGCATCCGGCTAGTAAACACTCAACTCACTCAGTTGCACCGATTCCACCCTGATAAAAGGAATTACAGGGTCATGAAAAGAAAAGAAAAATGTTTTGCTCTTGCTCCTTTTTTGCCCACTATTACTGTTAAAATCTCATGTTTTGCCTTACCATGTTTTAGACGTAATTGATTGGTGCAAAACCTTTGTTGTGATTACAGTAGAGTAGATCAATTTAGAGGTAACTGTCAACCGTCAATAATTCTAATCCATTTTGCCATTAAAAAAAACAGCCAAGATAAATGGATGTAATCAATGGGTGCACAAAACTTTTGTCAGGCTAAAAAGAAATAAGAAATGGACTTTTAAAGAAAATGGCAACACAATTAAGCCTAATGGCCTTCTCTCCCAGTATTGCAAACCTTATTTCAGTCAGGACATTGCCTTTTTTTAAAAATGAATTGTGCAATTTAAGATGTCAAATATTCAGAATAAACTTAATTGATTACACATGACTGCAGTAACGAATTGTCAGCTGTGTTGTCCAGTGAGCTGTTAGTACAGACAAGTCAAACAGTAGCAAATAAATCATGCTGCAGCATTCTCATTCTGAAGAGGTACAGAAAACCAAACCTTTTTCCCACTTCGCAACCAGGAAGAAAGTATCATCCATGCTCCAAGCTGGATCAGATAAATTAAAACTCTGCTTAAGAAGCAAATGCAATTTTCAAAAGCTCTTATGACTTGCATTTTATTGGTAAATAAAGGAGATTAGTCAACTGCAGGACAATTACAAGATGATTATTTGCCCCTGAAGAAATGAAAACAGGTATAGAACCTCAGTAAGAAAGAGCAAATATGTAAGCAC